GTCGGGCACAACCACCTACCCTGCATCTAATCGGCACACACACAGTCCACCGGGCCAGAAAGCCAACAGGGAACCCATTCCGAAGCAACAACAGACGCACCGAAAGGTTCTACAGCAGCCGATAACACACTCCCTTCTCAAGCGGTTTACAACCCTGCAGAGGCAGCCCATGGCCCCAGTAAAGAGGAAGGCCCCCAAAAGGTGGCGAGTAAAGCAGCACACACCGCATCAGCTGCAGGCGCCACACGAGCGGGCACTTTTGAAACGTAAGCCAGCCGACACGCCTGAGGCAACAGTGGAGACATCGACCCTGGTGAGTGGCCTTACCCTACGACCCACACGGAAGCCTGGAAGCACAAGACATCTCTCCCAAAGACGGGACTGGGCTCTTCCCCTCACAGGCATAGGCTAAGCTGAGCTGACAAGTGGAACTCTCGGGGACTAATGACCAAATATATTTTTCTTATAAGCGCTGATTTTTATTATTTTTCTTTTCATATGATTATACCAGCAGTCCTGATAGCCGACATATATATATATTTTTCTTTCTTTTTTTTTTTTCTTGGCTCTCGATTAATAAGGCCTTTATCTACCACCCCAAGGGGGCCCCCGGGGGTGATCAGGCTGACAGACCAGCAATAAGAAATAAGTTTTATCGTTATCTTAATATGCTGTTTCAATGTTTCAGCACCTCTTTACTGTGGTCATCTCACTGCAGCTCCAGCCTTCAGTGCTATTTAAGCCCAAGAGCAAGCTGCTCAGACCCATTATGAGACAGGAAAATGTAGGAACTACTTAAATAAGCGTGTATTGCATAGGACACCATAGTTTTAGCCATACACATGCCTAATCGAAAATATGACTCCCTACTGTAGTTTTAACGCAAATTACTCTGTCCCGCAGCACTCAAACCTATACCAGTTTTATTAACCCCTCGCAGTTGGTTTAGCCTGTTTTGAACTCGCAAATAGTTGTCAACCATTAAGTACCCGAAGTTATGCATATCTGACTGAATGTCTCGAAATAAGCTATGATGAACATATACTAGCTGTTATTAATCTATGTTAAACATGACTCCATCTCCTAACTAAAAAATGTGCAAGTACCAATGTATACTCCATTGTTATTAATGTTTGCAAAGCATGAGGATTGCCTTTGGGGTACCCCGTGCACGTATGTTATTCCATATGCACTGCAAAAAAAAAAAATTACAAAAAAAAACACATCCCCCTTGCTAGTCCCTCTATCCCAATTTATGTCTTGGTAATTAAAATCTCCAATACGTAACGTGTTACCTCGATTTGTAGCTTTCTCAGTTTGCTCTAACAGCTGTTCTTCCTCGATAATATTTACATTAGGTGGTTTATAAATATCCCAACCAATAATTGATTTCCCTTTGTTTGCCCCAAGCAGATATCTACCCATAAAGCCTCCACATTTTCCTCGTCACACTCCACATGCCTAGGATTTGACTTTAACTCATGGTTGACAAATAAACATACCCCGCCACCCTTCTTGTTTCTCCTATCCTTCCTAAATAACGTGTACCCATTTAAATTAACTGACCAGTCATGTGTCTCATCCCACCATGTTTCTGTTATGCCTATTATATCATATTGTTTAGTGTATGCTATTGCCTCTAGTTCCCCATTTTGTTATATAGGCTCCTTGCATTAGTAAGCATACATTTAATATTATCATGAGTCTTTTGTACTTTTTGTGAATTATCAATATTACATACCTCCTCTGTTCTGATCTTTCCCCTCCCCCATCTCCACCCCCTTTGTTCTGAGCTAAAGCCCATCTCCTTTCCATCCTATCTCCATTTTCTAGATTGCTTTGACCCTCCCCCCCTACCACTAGTTTAAAATCTCCTTCAATCTTCTAGCCATCATATCCCCCAGCACATCAGACCCTCTTCTGTTTAGGTGCAATCCATCATGACTAAACAGGTTGTACCCAAGTGCAAAATCGTCCCAGTACTCTAAAAACCCCAAACCCTGAACTCATTCTTTAGGACCTTCAATTTTCCTCTGACTTTGTCATTGGTAACAATATGGACCATGACAGCTGGGTCATCTCCAGCTCCTCCCAATAATCCCTCCACTCTGTCAGCAACATGCTGGACCACGATCTCCTATAAACACTAGATCCCTTACACACACACACTGCACCACCAACACACACTACATTCCTGACATATGAACTCTGGATCCCCTAGGCACACACTACATTCCTTGCAAACACATAATACATTTTCTAAACACACACTCTCTACAGCCCGTACATACACTACAGCCTGTATGCACATACTCGCTACATCCCCTTGTGGGGGATATTTATGGGATGATAATATTAAACAGTCGAGAATCGCCCACTATTTAAATTCTCTTAGATCTTAGAGATCGTTTATCAAATAAGTGAAATGTATTCCATACAATTAAGATCACAATGTGTTATAAAAATAGATTTAATTTATTGTGACATATTAAATAACAATATTATTAGGCAGCATGCATGATATTAATCAGTGAATATTTAGTATAACATAAGTATGCAATACAATGGAATGGCTATACACGTTCCAATGGCTAACAGCATCATCTGTCACTTAAGATTTATGAGGGTAAGCTTCACACAGCGAAAAGCCATAAAACCTTGGCTAACAGTTAGATCAACTGAGTAACACTTTCAATGCTGGCTAGATCCTCCTAGGCATACAGTATCCTATTCTCCTGTGATTTTCAATTAAAATAACATTCAAACCAGCTCATTAGTCATTTCCTGGAACCATCCAATAAGAATAATCTACCAGATTTTTACAAAAGCCGAATTTTAATTTGCCTAAAAAGATATCTTATCTTATTTTAGAGCAAATCAATACACCTGGATAAAAACAGCGGTATGCTAACATGTGATACTATCACATTAATATATAATTATTCTTAATTCCACCTGCAGAATGGAATGTTTATAACTATATATTCTTAGTTAACTAAGATTTCTAAATATTGAAATCTGACCGTGATTTATCCAGTCATATATCATGCTATTAGTAAATTTTAATTAATTTAAATTAATTAAATAAAACCAGCATAATTACCAGTTATGTAGATATTCTCATCAGATGAGTAGGTAGTCCCAGGAACTTGATTGGTTGTATGGAGGTGCATGAGTGATAGAGAAAAGTGGTGTTGGTTAGAAAGTCAGAGTAAAATTCTAAGTGTTAAAGAGTTTAAGAGTTGAGTGTTCGAGAGAGTTTAAGAGTAGAATGTGAGTCTCTCTCTCTGCATGTCCGAATCGGAATCCCCAAACTTCAACTTGTCTCTCTACCAACTACCCTCTCTCTTATCTAAAATGACTTCCATAACTTAGATTTGCTGTCAGTTCAAAGCGTTTGTCTCAGTCTTTGTGGCAACTACTTTGATCGTAATTTGTAAAATTGACAGTTCTAAACTCAATTTCACCCCTTACTTACAATGGAACCTTGTAAAATTTAGAAAGTAAAATTAATTACTTAGTCTCCTCTGTCACTAGTGTCTGTGTTTATATAATCCTTTAGCTCAGTGGTTAGTGAAATCAAGGAAATTATGTGTCTTTGAATTTCTGAAGATAGCAAAATGGAGTCTGCTCTGTTCTGAGTGACTCTGGCAATATACACTTTTAATTTCTTTCTTAGCACAAAATGTCTGCTGATATAAATATTCTGACACCCTATACACACTACGCCCCCTACACACACACTCTCTACAGCACCTAGCCACACATATTACACCACAAACACAAATGAAATTGACCTATTTACACAATACCACACCACAATCAGCTCACTCTACACACACACACAATCCCACAAGCAGGCTCCAAACACATGCACGATATGCTTTCCTGGCCATTTTGTCCTCTGGCATCCCACTTATGGAGACAACAAATGTTATTTCATTTGCTTGCGCTGCGCAGAACAAATACAGGGCCTTTTTCTCATGCTAGAGCTCTTCAGCGGAACTTTGCGCATTGAACCAACATGCTCACTTTAAGAGGGGGCGTGCTTGTCATTAGTGATGACAAAACATACTCTTTCTGGCCCCAGCCCCTTCTCAGGCAGCTGCTGTGATTGAAAAATGCCCGGGTCAAATTTTTTTCCCAGTCTGGCCCTGGTGCCCCTGCAGCCTCACTGTTCAATTGTCTGCCATTTAGGAGTTAAATCACATTTGTTTCTGTATATGCAGCCCTAACTACACCTCCCCTGGCTCCTGCATGAAAAATACTTTCATTTTCCATGAGATAATAACTTGCTTTAGAAGTTTTCATCTCCTGCTCTGTAAATTGAACTTTTTTACACACAGGAGGCTCTTGCAAGGTCTTGAAAGATATTAACAGAGCAGCAGATAAAAAATTCTAAATTAAACAGTCTGTGCTATACAGGACATTAAAACATTAGATATCTCCTTACAGGAAGTGCTTAGGAAAATTGTGTAAGTCACATGCAGGGAGATATGACTAGAGCTGCATAAACAAAGTGATCTATACACCAAACCACTCCCTTAAGCTAAAATTGTTTTGGTTCCTATGATGTCCCTTTAACTAATACTGGGGAAAAGGGTCAATATTTGATTGCATTTGATGAAAAAACATGGATTTATTTGCTCAGTAAGAGCTAACTTGTGAATATACAGGTGATACTCAAACAATTAAAATATCGTGCAAAAGTTAATTTATTTCAGTAATGCAACGTAAAAGGGGAAACTAATATATGAGATAGACGCGTTACATGCAAAGCAAGATAGTTCAAGCCGTGATTTGTCATAAATGATTATGGCTTACAGCTCATGAAAACCCTAAATCCACAATCTCAGTAAATTAGAATATTACATGGAATCAATAAAACAAGAAGTGTACATAGAACAATATCGGACCTCTGAAAAGTATAAGCATGCATATGGACTCAGTACTTGGTTTGGGCCCCTTTTGCAGCAATTACTGCCTCAATGCGGCGTGGCATGGAAGCTATCAGCCTGTGGCACTGCTGAGGTGTTATGGAAGACCAGGATAGTTCAATAGCTGTCTTCAGCTCTTCTGCATTGTTCGGTCTCATGTCTCACATCTTTCTCTTGGCAATGCCCCATAGATTCTCTATGGGGTTCAGGTCAGGAGAGTTTGCTGGCCAATCAAGCACAATAATCCCATGGTCATTGAACCAGGCTTTGGTGCTTTTGGCATTGTGGGCAGGTGCCAAGTCCTGCTGGAAAATGAAGTCAGCATCCCCATAAAGCTTGTCTGCGGAAGGAAGCATGAAGTGCTCCAAAATCTCCTGGTAGACGGCTGCATTGACCCTGGACTTAATGAAGCACAGTGGACCAACACCATCAGATGGCATGGCTCCCCAAACAACACACGCCGTGGAAACTTCACACTGGACTTCAAGCATCTTGCAGTGTGTGCCTTTCCATTCTTCCTCCAGACTCTAGGTCCTTGGTTTCCAAATGAGATGCAAAAGTTGCTCTCATCAGAAAAGAGGACTTTGGACCACTGAGCAACAGACCAGGTCTGTTTTTCTTTAGCCCAGGTAAGATTCTTCTGACTTTGTTTGTTGTTCAGGAGCGGCTTGACAAGAGGAATACGACATCTGAAGCCCATGTCCAGGATCCGTCTGTGTGTGGTGGCTCTTGATGAACTGACTCCAGAATCAATCCACTCCTGGTGAAAGTCCCCAACACTTTTGAATGGCCTTTTCCTGACAATCCTCTCCAGGATGCGGTCATCCCTGCTGTTGCACCTTTTTCTTCCACACTTTTCCCTTCCACATAACTTGGAACAATTACCTTTTGAGGCTTTCCCTCCTTATGGAGGGTGTCAATGATGGTTTTCTGCACAACTGTCAGGTCAGCAATCTTCTCCATGATTGTGATTCCTACTGAACCAGACTGAGAGACCATTTAAAGGCTCAGAAACCCTTTGCAGGTGTTATGGCTTATTTAACTGATTAGAGTGTGTAGCGGAACGCCAATATTAAATCCACAAATTCCGCTGGTTCAGGAAATAATCCACAGTCAAGCGCTGAAACAACAAGGCAATATCTCCAACCTCCCAGTAACCAGACGAAACACAGTTCTGAGAGTCAACTGAAATCCTTTAATTCGGCTGCACAATTTATACAAGTCCCCATGCAAGGGGTTTCCTGAGTCCCTTCCCAGGGGCACTCCCAGAGGGGACTACATGGGGGACTTACATTACAAGGCATTTTTCCCATCAGGCACTGCTGCACGAGAGGGATCCTCCCACTGGAATATACTGTTAAGTGGATTATCCCTCCGTGCAGCAGAACTTACAATTCGTATAAAAATACATAACTTTATGAATATGCAGTCTATTTAAACGAATGGACGTTCGGTAGATAGCTGGGGTCTGAGCGCATCATTCGTGAGATTACCGCTCAGATCCCAGCTAAAATAACCGAACGCCGCACGAAAAACACATTCATTACAAAATATATTAAAAGAACCGATTGCCTTCCAGGGAATAAAATACCGAACGGCCTGAAACTCCCGAACGTCCTGGAGGCTCAGCGGTGTTCGTGCCGTCGAGTAGCCGTTTTTAGTACCATGCGCTCGACGACCTAACACCGCTGAGGGAACAAAGGATCCAAGATGGCCGACCGCCGCATGGTCGGTAGTCGAACGACGGCCACCCAGGAGAGCCTCTAATTACCGATTGCAACATTGTTGCAATCGGTTAACCAGCGCCACACGCCTCTAAGTGTGTGGGCTATTAGGGGTAGTGTGTTCGGTTCACGAACGGCTTTCCAAAGTGCCGTTCGTGAAACGAAAGGAAAACCCATACAAACTGCTATCTGCATTCGGCGGATAGCAAATACAGGCAATCTAATACAGTACAGTCAGCATACAATACATGGAGTAAAACACATATCTCCCCATACATGTAGGCAACCCTTAAAGGTATAGTCTCGGGTTATAGTCCAAGTGGCTAGGTTTGCCACAATGCTCCCCCAGAACCAAGCCGGCATACACAGTCTGATCCCCACGGATCGGCTTGGGGATGTCCGGAGGAGCGCTCACAGATCACTTCTCAAGGTCTGTTTGTCTGGATAACCCGTCGGCGTTATCGTTTTGTTTCCCGGGGCGATAATGGATAGTAAAGTCAAAAGGCTGCAGCGCCAAACTCCAGCGCAGCAGCCTGGCATTGTCTCCAGCCACACGGTTTAGCCACACCAACGGGTTGTGATCTGTGAGCAAGGAAAAGGGTTGCCCATAGAGATATGGCTGTAACTTTTTCAGGGCCCACACCACGGCCAGGCATTCTTTTTCTATGGCGGCGTAGCTCACTTCTCGGGGTAACAATTTCCGGCTCAAATATGGTACGGTGTGTTCTCCGCCATCGGCTCCAACCTGGCTCAGTACTGCTCCCAATCCAAACATTGAGGCGTCTGTGTGAACAAGAAAACGTTTAGTTGGATCAGGAGCAGCCAGTACAGGGCCATTGGTCAGAGCCGTCTTCAGTTGGTTGAATGCCTGTTCACACTCTGGGGCCCAGATGACCTGCCTGGGCAGATTCTTCTTCGTCAAGTCAGTCAGGGGTTTGGCCAGGGCACTGTAATTGGGCACAAATTTTCTATAGTATCCGGCGGTACCTAAGAAGGCAAGGACTTGGGTTTTGGTCTTAGGGGTAGGCCACTGGGCTACGGCTTCAATCTTGGCGGGCTCAGGCTTCTGTTGCCCGCAACCTACCCGGTGTCCTAAGTATTGGACCTCCGCCATCCCTATGTGGCACTTGCTGGGTTTCAAAGTAAGCCCCGCCTCCCTGATCTGATCTATTACAGCCCCTATATGCCGTAGGTGATCCGACCAGGTCTGGCTGTAGATGGCAATATCATCCAGGTATGCACACGCATAATCCTGGAACCCGTCCAGTAGCCGATCCACCATCCGCTGGAATGTCGCGGGGGCGTTCTTCATCCCGAATGGCATGACTCGAAATTGGTACAAGCCAAACGGGGTGACAAACGCCGATTTGGGGATGGCGTCCTCGGCTAGTGGAATTTGCCAGTATCCCTTACACAGATCTATTGTCGTGAGATACTGGCCTCTGGCCATCTTATCGAGCAGTTCGTCTATCCGGGGCATCGGGTAGGCGTCCGACACGGTTTTGTCGTTCAACCTCCGGTAGTCCACACAGAACCGGGTGGTACCGTCTTTCTTGGGGACCAGGACTACCGGCGATGCCCAGGGGCTATCGGAGTGTTCGATAACCCCTAACTGCAACATCTCTTCAATCTCCTTCCTCATATGTTCCCGCACGGATTCAGGAATCCGGTATGGGGTCTGTCGCATGGGAAGCTGTCCCGGGGTTTCTACTCGGTGCGTGGCTAGTGGAGTGTACCCAGGTAAGTTAGAAAAGGTGGCACCTTTTGTCGCTATCAGTTCTTGTACCTGGGTACGCTCTTGAGGACTTAGCCGCTCCCCCAGCTGAACCCCCTGGGAGGGCTCCTTCTGCTCCTCCTGCTCTAACAGATCTGGAAGGGGTAAGTTCTCCTGATCTTCTGAGGCGGGCGTGCAAATAGCTGCCACGTCCTCAGTTCGCTTGTGGTAGGGTTTGAGCATGTTCACATGGAGCATGCGTCGTTTCCCTACTCCGGAGCATGGGCCGATCACATAGGTGGTATCGCATCTCTGCTCTACCACCTGGTATGGGCCCTGCCAGACGGCCTGTAGTTTGTCTGTGCGAACAGGTTTGAGGATTAACACCTTCTGTCCCACTTGAAAACTACGGTCTCTGGCCCCTCTGTCATACCAACGACGCTGTCGTTGCTGGGCGGCCTGGAGGTTGGTGCGCACTGCCTGGGTTAATTCCTCCAGGCGATCCCGGAACGCCAGCACGTATGGTACAATAGGGGTCCCATCTGCGCTACTCTCTCCCTCCCAATGCTCTCTAATGAGATCCAACGGTCCCCGGACCCTTCTCCCAAATAGCAGTTCAAATGGGGAGAAACCGGTAGACTCTTGGGGTACCTCTCTGTAGGCAAACAACAGATGGGGAAGGAATCGTTCCCAGTCCTTATGGGTCTCTCCGAATGTACGGAGCATCTGTTTCAGGGTACCATTGAACCTCTCACACAATCCGTTGGATTGAGGGTGGTAGGCCGAGTTAATGATCGGCTTAATGCCACATATCTTCCATAACTGTTGAGTAACCTCAGCTGTAAATTGTGTCCCCCTATCGGAGACAATTTCCTGCGGGAACCCTACTCGTGAAAAGATTTTCATCAGGGCTTCAGCCACGGTCTCAGCGTGAATATTAGTTAAGGCCATCGCCTCGGGGTACCGGGTGGCGTAGTCCACCACGATCAGGATAAACCGCTTCCCAGAGGGGCTGGGTTTTGGTAGTGGCCCCACTATATCTACAGCCACACGGCTGAACGGTTCCTCAATTATAGGTAGGGGACATAGTTTCGCCTTGTGGCGATCCCCTCTCTTGCCTACCCGCTGACACACATCACAGGAGGTGCAATAGTGTCGTACATCTTTAGAGATCCCGGGCCAAAAGAAAGCGTGAGTCAAGTGATACCGGGTCCGGGTCATCCCTAAATGGCCGGACAGAGGGATGTCATGGGCTATTCTTAGTAACTCATGCCTATACTTCTGGGGTACTACCAGCTGCTTAGTTTGGAGAGTTACCGAGTTTCCTATTGCTCTCTCAGCCACCCGGTACAGTAACTTGTTTTCCCAAATGTACGGTTCCCCCTCCCGCCCCACCTGGTCCGTGTCTACTCTATCTCGGTACACCTGCAGTGTGGGGTCGGTCTGAACCTCTGTTTCAAAAGTAGTCGGGGTGTCCCAGGTCATGGTTTCTTACCTGAGCCTCAGAGTGCGCTGGTGGTGCCGTGGTGCGAGCCTGTTGCCGTGTAGTTACTGGGTGAGCTTCTTGTGAGGGAGCCTGGGGTAGGAAAGCTGAAGTCATCTGGCCCACGTCATTCCCCAACACAACATCTGCTGGTAACTTCTTCATTATTGCCACTTCCACAACCCCCTCCCCAGCACCCCAGTGGCTCCCCCTGCTACTCGGACCGCCACTGATCCTCCAGTGTGGGCCGCATCTGGAACTAAATGTGGTGCAACCAGGGTCAAAGTGGCTCCCGAGTCCCTCAGCCCCTGTACTTCTTTCCCCCCCACAAACACAACTTGGCGGTGATGCTGCCTGTTGTCCGTGGCTTGTACAGACATCACTTCATATAAAACTCCCAGCGGTTCCTCGGTTTG